CATCCTGCATTCCACAAACCTGGGAATTCTAGAGTGGAAATGTTTATGCAAATCACTGTTGTCCTTTGGGAAATGCAGCTAACAGCTTCTACCAATAAAACCCAGTCCGCTAATGCCAAAGCCAAACATGCCTGCAGCAAGTTCACAGAATAAAAAATGGCTACTACTCGAAAGATAAACGAAGGAGAGAAGAAAAAAGAACTCCTCATTCCAGTCCCATGGCTAATGCACTCGCTGAAGGTTCATGGGAAAGACTTTCAAATCCAGACTTTGGCAAGGGGAACAAAGATGGCTGCCAACGTGAGGATCGCAATCAAAATACTACAGCAGGATGTCAAGAGTTCAGGCGGTGGAGAGGAAGAGGGATTTCCAGGGACACCTCATCTGGACCACGGTTGTGACTGATTTTGAAAGAGGCTCGAAGCCGAAAAATACAAGTTGAACGTTGCCAGCTCTGAAGGCGCAGTTGCCAAATCAGCAGGATTTGATTGGAGTACAGTTTGACTTCCATTGTGTACTGAGAAGTCTGGTTCTTTAAAAGCAAAATGTGAAATCGTTCAATAAAAGAAAAGCAATCGATAGTGATTTACTGAATATTGGGTTTGTTCAACTTACCCAGGATTTGTTCTAGAAGACATATGATGCAATATTTACTTGTTGTGCTTTTAACCATATGACAACTTTGTCACTAATCCAAAACAGTTTGTTACATCTACGTTAATATCAGGAACTTCTGGCACAAATCAGATTTCAGTCTTTTAAAATCCAAAGTTGTTAGTTTTGGCAATTAATGAAGTGAAAATATTTTTTGGCATTCACATGGCAATGGTTGCAATTGGAAATGTGGAAAAATTGCATAAAACAACTTTCACATCTCCCTCTGGTGGTAGCATGGGTTAGGGCAGGCGTATAGGATTATTTAACCTTCATACTTGTTTGTTACCAGAAAGTAAAAAAAACCCATCGTGACGGCCCAGACACATCGAAGCATATTTATACTATTCAATCTTGTTTAGTGATTTTATGTGAAACTTCAAATATGACAAATTGTATAGTAGATAGATTCATGGACACAAATGCATTAGTATAGCACCAACCAGTTATCTACATCCAAAGCGCTCATAACTCTATAATTTACACTCAGGCTGAAATGAACAATTACTTTATTCTTTAGATTAATCGATTACTGTAGTTGTTTAGAATCTTTTCTACATCTGACCAAAACAGGATCAAGTGATGCCCCTGGATAACATCTTCATAGAGATTACTTGTTAATCATTGGGTTGTTTGATTAAGATACTTTCTAAACTCATTTTCATTTCATTCTGCAGTCAGTTTAAGTCTGTTTAGGGCTGTAACAGTTAACTTGTTCCGGCCCTATTTCCAATCTTACAAATTGTATACTTGTTTTCATTCACTCACACATATGCAAAAGCAGTACCCAACCAATTTATTTGAATTGCGCTTTCTACCTTCAAAGCACTCAAAACTGTTGACATAAAATATCAAAGAGCCTCTCTTCCTTTGACACACATTTCATGTATATGCAGTCATAGACGGCATCCATCCACAGAACCAGCTCTACCAAATTCATCCATGTCAGGAGCTGGATTTGAACTGACTTAGATTGGATTATAAAACTTTCTACCAAAGTGCCTACCTATACTGTCTTGTTGCCTTGTTGTTGTTTTTGACAGGTTTAGCAAACAGTCTTGAGAACAGCCTCCCTTTGGCTATGTTTGTCATCTCATAGCAGGAGTGTTGCAGGAAAGAACAAACTAAACTAAACGTACAAGCAGAAGATGTATTTGGGTTTATGAGGCTGTCACTTCCAATGCGCGCGTACAGGCAGCGCGCAGGTTTAAGCAGCTGTGTTAGTTTTAGGGGCTACGCAGGGAACTTTGCTGTGGTTCTCCAGGATTTCCTCCCATTAAAAGTGGATGCGAGGAATGTAAAGCAGCACGGTAATACGCTCTGCAAATATCCGGTCATATATATGTATATCAGCCATCTCCCGTCTTGTTTGTAACCAGGGAGATGTAAAGGTGTCTGTTAAGTCCAGGCTGCAAAAAAATCAACTCGGCTGGTATCTAACGGATCCGTTAGTGTGTTTGCTCCTCTTCGACAACTAGAAAAAATGTCATACATCTTACAGTATAACATTATTTTGTGTCCACTTTTAGTTTGAGTTGTAATGTAATGTCATTGGACAAATCAATGTTGTTCTCTTCCAAATGAATTAGAGTTGTATTACAATTTTTTTCTTAGTAGTTTCATGGTGATAAGATTAGAGTGCTGTAGCCCTCTAACAAATAAATAAATTAATCATGTATCAAAAACATGTAAACCTCATACTTTAAAAGATTAATTGAGTTCCTAATATGAATCCCCTCCAGTGGCTCGAAGGATCCCAGTTTAGTCCAGCATTGGATTTGAGAATTAAGAGTTTTATAGTTTTAAGCAAAATCAGCCCAAAAGTACCAACATTTTTCATGCGGTATTAAACGTATGTGTTTTTCCTTAAAACCAGAGTTATGTTTATTCATATTTCACTTAGACAGTTAATGGTATTGGATTTCCAAAGAATATTTTCTACTTGTTGTGGTAAATGGGTCAAAAATAACCACTGCAGGTGCTCTTTTTTATGTTGACTGCCATACATACTCCCCTATTGAGTTTGAGATTTTGAAACTTCTACTTCTTGGCAAAAACTTTAAGTGATTTTTTTATTTTTTTGTCATTACAACAACATATTCAGAAGAACATGGTGTAAGGTACAAGTTTGGGGTTTGTGACTCTGAGCAGACAGGGGAGATAAGAGACACTGCACTTACATTTGCAAAAACAGCTCCATCTGCTCCTCTATAGCCCATACACTCAACAACAGACTGTTTCTAAGCAACACTCTAGTCTAGTAAAAACTATACATTTTTTAAAGGTTGTGCACAAAGCTCTCACACATCACATTCATTAACATAAAAGCTGCACTGAGACTAAACCAAGGCAACATTCTTATCACTGATGCGCCTTAGGCCTTAAAGAGGTGTGCTTGTCTGTCTTCATGGAAATGCTAATATAGGTATGTTGGCATTAAAGGCAGATCAGTGCACATTTGGGCTAAAATATGTATTAATTAATTTAGCAAATTCAAAACAACAGTTCAAACCTTTTTTTCCGCAAATATGTCACAGTAAAGCTAACATCAAGTATCTATCTATCCATCTATCTATCTATCAACAACCATTTACATGCAACGGTTTTAATTTATCTTTACAAAATAACATTTGCATTCTATTATCACACTTAAATTACTTTAAACCTTATCTGTTCTTTCTGATTAAACTTTAGTGATTCTTCAAAGGCCGGTCACAAAAGTTACATCACTACATACAATAACTAATGGATGGAAAAATATATTTTAGGACTCTGTATCATGTGTACAATTTCCTGCTATAATGAGAAGATACAGAAATTGCTAGTTTACTTGTTTTTACGATTGCATAACTCATTATGGCTATTCATTCATTTATTCTGCTGTTTTTGTTGATAGCTTTTAAGTCTAAATACAACATTTTAAAAAGTGGTTTACTAAGATTATCTTGCTGTAATTTAAGTTGACCATCGGCTAAAAGTTGTGAAAATTGAGCAAGCGTGGCTGTGACCCGTCCTGCTCCACCCAGAGGCTACACCTCCACAGCTGCTGTGATCCGTCCTGCTCCACCCATAGGCTACATCACCTCTGCTGCTGTGACCCGTCCTGCTCCACCCAGCAGATGGTCCACTTATGCTACTGTGACCTGTCCTGCTCCACCCAGCGGATGGTCCACTTCTGCTGCTGTGACCCAACCTGCTCCACCCAGCGGATGGTCCACTTATGCTACTGTGACCTGTCCTGCTCCAACTTCTGCTGCTGTGACCTGAACTGCTGTTGCTTATCATTACCTTTGTTTGATTTTTAGAATAATCAATTCATTTATTTTGTTTGTGTGCATGAATGTGTTTTTGCTACTACTGGTCACCTGAATTTCTCCTACAGGGAGGGATCATTAAAGTATCTAACTAACTAACTAACTAAAGTTGTTTCAGTATTAGCCATCAATGTCAATCAACATACCATCCATCAAAATGTGATATTGTGACAGGTAGAGCAAAGAGGCTAGTACTGCTTAATTACTTGACATATTTTGTCGGTTCACGAAGCGGAAGTCCACCGCCAAAACATGTCAGGTAATTAAGCAGTACTAGATTCTTTACACAATTTGATTCATTAAACGTATCACTCAGGTCTGCTGTGTTGTTTTGTCCCAGCAAAACTCATCTGACTCTGAACTATAGGCATAAACAATTCCTTTCTCCAACACATAAAACCATAATACAAGTCATAAGTCTGTCAGTCGAAGCCTATGGAGACATTCACTGCTGTGGGCTGGTATAATGTGTTTCCTCTGATTGTCCTGGACTGGGTTTGGAGGATGCTCTCACCAACACAGCTTTGTTTCCAAGATAAAAGTAAGAACAACATTCTCCTTCTGAGGACTCGGAATGCTGGTATGACAGGAAAGGACACCTGTTGTTGGTTTTACATTTATATATTCTGCAACTGTATTCTCTGTCGGTATTTTCAAATAATAGGGGTCTTGGGCTGTGTGCTCCTCATTCCTACTGTTTCGTTACTGGTGATGCAACACTGAAATTTCCCTACTGTGGGACAAATAAATAATCTCTTAATCTTAATCTGAAAAAGATAAAACATTTGATAACAAAAACAATTTAGAAACATCTGACAAAAATGTATTACAAAAAAAAAATCTTCGGGTGAGCTATGGCCATTGTTATAGTATTAAATCTAGGTACGTGTTACCCATGTCACAATACTAATAAAATGGTAAAATCCACTGCCATTACTGCCTAATTTAATTCTTAAACATGTGTCACCTTTCGTGAAGCAAACGCACAATATTTTTGGCGATTACGCTCATTATTAGCTCTTGGTAAAGCAGTTACTTTGGCGAGAATGAAAAGTCCAGCTGCACACAGGCCTCCTCACACCCGCTCTGCATACAAATAAGCCTATGAAAGAACAGAGTATGAGGATAGAGACATAGAGAGAGAATACTGATCAACCATTTCTGCTGAATCACTGCTTAAGGCACGGATTTTGCCTAATGAGAAAGAGGAAATTCAATAGACTAAAAATTCCAAAAGATTTGTAAGAATATATATTGATGGGGCGATCACATCTGACAAGGAAATTCAGCCATGTGTACACACGCAAATGTGCTATATCTCTCAGATGGTAACCAGGAAGAGCTAAATTCTTATCAAAAGGAATGCAAATTGATAATAAAGCAAAATATGTCACAAAAAGTGTCCAGTAAGTCCAGTGCAAACTAGGAAAACACTAGTCATCATCACAACAACCAAATATCACATGCTACTGAGCAACACGTTTTAGAATAACTAGAGCAGACTTCTTCCCTTTTTAACATGACTGATAACAAAAATATTCCAAGCCTGATGCAAATGCAGAAAGATATTCAAAATGATACATAACCAATGTTTCTGCCGCCTCCACTGAAGCCATACCTGATATAGCGGCCGGGACAGCCCTCTGTGACAGTGCAGCCGGCTCAGGGGCCCTGGCAGGTGAGTGCTGGTGGGGCTCCTGAGCCTCTTCAGAGCTGTGGATGTCAGTGTCCACAAGAGCCCATGTCGCGTGCACACCACCTCATCTAATCCAAACAGCATCGCTTCCATCGCTGACAATAAACTGGCAAAAACTTCCTATGTAACTATGAGTAAATCATTCCGGAACAGAGACTTCAAAGTTCCAGTATTGGCAGTGATTGAGAAGTGATGGACTCTGTGCGGAGTTTTGCAGGAGAAGCAGTTGTGTGGTGGTGATGTGAGCAAGTGGCTGCTTGAAAAGAGATATGGGAAGGGGAGGGAGGGAAAGGGGGAGGGAAAAGGGAGAGAGAGGGAGAGAGAGAGAGAGAGAGAAGGTGGTGCAGACGGTGACTGACTCAAATGTTTAAAGAGGAATAATGTTACAATCACAGTCAACAGGTTTATATTGACAGAGGAATGGGATTGGACTAAAGCCAAACTCAATCTATTTACATTCAGGTGAAAAGAGATGTCGGGACAGGACTTAATTGACTAAAAGAACATTCACAAACAATTATCGATTATTACCTTTGATGCAGTATTCTATTAATTGGTTTTACATTATTCTCTGCGTATTTAACCCTTTAGGCGCCAAAGTAGCAGAATTGCTTCTGACACTTTCTATACAGCGACTTGGCTTCCCACAAACGTTTCCCTACATTTTTTATACATGTTTTTCTTTTATGTATGTAGTCATTGATATCTTATACAGTTAAAGAGCTCCACTTTTTATTTTAAAGTATGATTGATCATAGGCGCAAACTAGTGTAAAAATAGTTATTTGAATTTCATGTGCAAAGTTTCACAGCGCAAAGTTTCACAGAGTAGTTAAATACATTTACACAATTTTGGTTAATGAAGCTTTTTTGAATATGGGCCTCTCAAAGGGACATTTATGGACGTTTATGGACATTTATGGACATTGGTCACCCCGCTCCCAATAGACCAATGGCTCACATGTGTTTGTTATTATTGAATTTCCTGTTTTCCAACTGTTTGATTTTGATTCTCTGATCTGTTAATGGTGAATCAACATACAAAAACAAATAAAATCGTTCTAAACATAAGCTGTTCTCATAGCAACCACATTTCCCCCGCTCTCTTCTACTGTACTCACACCGTTCGCACATGCAGCAATTATTTCACTACATTTCCTCCACCTCATTAAGCTTGCACAATATCCTTGCCCTAAATATGCATAACGCTAATTACATCATGTTTAAATATTAATGTACTACTATGATTCACAATGCTATGTGTTTTGTTGGCCTACATTTCAGCAGAGAGTGGCCACACGGAGGCAAAGAAACCTCCTCGTTCGCAATCTCGCCTTGCATTCCACGAGCACTTTCTCATGAATTTCATAACGGTGATATGATAATAGTTTTGAAGACACGTGCGTGGAGTATGTATAGTTTTTCACACCTTCCTGCGTGTGTGTTTCAACAGAAATTCAATAAGCCCAGAGTACAGTAAGTCTGTTCCTTTCTATTGATCCAACAGACTGGATTCTGACCTTATTGAAGTCATAGAGAGCATTATATTTGCTTTTTGATCAGCAAAGGAAAATAGTGCAATTCACTAACATTGGACACAGAAATGTAAAAAAAAATTCTCAATGAATATTTTAGTTTTGAAATGTAATTATGCCAGTGAGGACTTTGTGCTTTATCAGTTTTAAAGCATCAGCTAATTATCTAATGATGAAGATAACTATGAACTACTATTAAAGCCGGTGTAGCAAACTTTAAAAAAAGAGACATTTTGTTTGCCCCCACAGAAAGACCTACAAATCTGACCACAACATGCCGTTTTCATTTTATTAGAAAACATGTCATCTTTTGCAAACTAAGAGCCTTGTGAGTCATTATTTGACACTTTGGGCAGAGAGCTGATTGTCGGTGGTTCTCTATTTTGCATGTTTCTGCCTGAAAAAGCTGATTTTGCAAAATATTACAGGGGTTTAAAACTATGTGCATATGAAAACTATGGATAGATGGTTTGTGGTTTTAAATATAGGTACTCAGTGGTTAGTCTCGCTTCTCAGTAAGACAGTCCGGCCGGAAAGGAGTCTTTCTGGGTGGACTTTGCATGTTCTCCCCATGTCTGCGTAGGATTCCTCCGGGTTCTCCTGTTTCTGCTGTTCCTGTTTAACTTAGATTTAGACCCAGATTTAAGATCAGCTTTTTTAGATGGAGAAAAAGAAGTGGACCACCCTGCATGGACCACCCTTGAACAGCCAAATAGCTCTCATCCCTTAGAGTCATATAGTGGCTGCAACTGCTTTTTTGTACAAGTTTGTGTCTGAAGAAACCTCTTCTAATTGGATGCAGATTGTAGTCACAAAATGCATCGTTTACAATACGCTTCACAAGCATTACGCATGGTCTCTCCAGCGCACCTGGCCGCAAAAAAGTACTCGAAAATGAGCTAAATATGTCATGAATCAGCCTGTAAAATGCTTGAGATGGAGCTGAGGGCCACAAAGCCTCCAAACTCACAACAAAATCACCAGGGATACATACCAGCATTAAAGAGAGCACATATCTGTGAGATGGTAAATGGCGCTGTCTTGTGATACACGTGTGGAATCTTCCTCTCCAGAGTGAATCGCATACCACATCAAAACTGCTATTTACAAGGGGTGTCAATATTTGTAGCGTCTGAGAGAAGAAATGTTAACTGTCGGGTTCCCATGCCTCAAATGTGTTTGCAAAGCCGCTATGAATCCTGGGAAAAGGTCACCCTCGTCCAATCGTGTAAACAGGCCGTGTCAGTTGGTCACTTGTTACCACGGAGACCTGGTATAAAAATAAGTTTCCTCCATGCAGATATTGGCGATTATAAATAGGCCAAAAACATCAAGTACTTGAGAGTACAAAGTAGGTTTTGAGGTTGACTTTTTTCTCAGTCAATATTTCAGCATGAAAAAAATTTAAATATTTATATTCATACTGAAATATTGAATTTAACTAGTAAACCTGTGGCACTGATCTAAACGAGTATAGGAATGTTACAGGTTATAATAGAGGGTATCCAGATGATGTTTTTTTTTTTTTTTTATTAAAGCCAGGGTACGTCACTTTTTGGGGTTTATATATAATCCATGTAGTTTGTTCCAACAGGAAAAAACTGCTTTAAAAAACTATAATGTTGTGAACAATTCAAACCACAAACCACCTTGCTGTCTTTATCTTATTCAAAACACATGCCCTGTGAGTCACTATTTGAACCTTTGGACGTGAGACCTGATTGGCTGGGTAAGGGTGGTCTACCTGGAAAAAAACTGAAATGACAGAAGCCAAAATACATGCCTTTGACAACTATAGTGATAGGACCAAACTTGTTAGATGGATTTTGATATATAGTCATATTTTTTTGTGGTTTGAAAGTGAGGTACCCCTGCTTTAATTGGTGTTACATACGGGTGTTCATCAATGGGCAATGAGGAAAAGGAGTCTGATGCTGTAGTGATTCAATTCAATAAAAAAACAAGAAAAAGATCTCTCAAAATGTCGAACAAGCTGAAACAACCTGAGAAGAAACAAACCTGAGTGAGAAAAACAGCATTTGGTAAAAACAATAACATTTGCCTCAGTCAATATTTTCTGCAGAACATTTTGATGACTTTGAAGTGGATTCAGGCAATCTAATAATGGTTAATAAAGCACAATATGTCTCTTAACTTTTCCCTTTTGTCTTTGTAATGCTATTCAATGGTTTGGTTATTCTTTGGCTTCTGATCTTCGCTCAAGCATGTGATGGAAGAGTTGGGAGGAGCGGGAGTGAAGGGGAAATAGGTCAAAAGCATTCTCAGCCAGGGCACTAGAGCATAGAATGAAGGGCAGATGTGATATCGGGAAAAAATATGGCTTATTGGAATGATTCTAGTTATGAACTTACTTGTGCACCTGGGTCCCTGTGATTGCAACCGACAAAGAATTCAATCGGTTTTCTTTAATGTAATAAAAGGAAGGGGGGAAAAAATCAATGGTAACATATTGATGCTGAAATAGTGCCATTAAAGGAACTATATGTCTGGTTTAGTCAATGTTACAAGCGTTGAAAAGGGGGCATGGTGTGTGGACGCCCATATACAAAACATAATATACAGAGTTAAACGTGGCAAGAAAAAGGCTCATAACGTTTGTGCATTAAAAGATAAGGGATCAGAATTCCAGGTGTTATTTTGAAGGAGCAAAGAATCATGGTTTTTTTGAGGGGGGGAAAACTGTATTTTGTAACAACCTGTCAATGTACACACTCATCCTGTGATAAAATACTTGAAAAAAAGACATGTGATTTGGAATTTCACAATCAGTCAAATGCAGACAATAAAGTATGCATATCTTCAATGATAACTTTTTATCTGACACGCATGGGTAAAAACTTATCATAAAAAATCATAAAGAAACTGATTTCACTATGAATCAACTATCATGGTAGCTAAGATGATAGGTTGATTATGTATTATTTATGATTATCTCAAAAACTGCTTTATGTTGGAAAGAACTCTTCCCCAACAGAAAGAAGAGTAAAAGTAAAACAAACATGCTGTCAAACACGTTTCATTTTGCATACTTGCAAGAAAGAGCCATGTGAGTCACTGTTTGATGCTTTGGACTGAGAGTGGACTGGATGAGGTCTTCTCATTTCACATTTTGGTCTAAAAAAGATGATCTAAAGGTGTGATGAACCAAAATGTTTTGAGAGCGAGGGGTTTATGGATTGTAAAACATAGTTTTAGACCTGGGAAGATTTTGTTATTATCTAGACCAAGACAATGTATCTGTCATCATTCCTAAAGGACACATACAGTGGGGCAAAAAAGTATTTAGTCAGCCACCGATTGTGCAAGTTCTCCCACTTAAAATAATGACAGAGGTCTGTAATTTTCATCATAGGTACACTTTAACTGAGGGACAGAATGTGAAAAGAAAATCCAGGAATTCACGTTGTAGGATTTTTAAAGAATTTATTTGTAAATTATGGTGGAAAATAAGTATTTGGTCACTTCAAACAAGGAAGTTCTCTGGCTCTCACAGACCTGTAACTTCTTCTTTAAGAAGTTCTTCAGTCCTCCACTCGTT